CTGGGCTTCATGTATATGTATTACCTCCTAGACGTGCAGAGATCGGAATACACGTTTGTTGATTTCCCACAAGGCCTAACACAATGCGGATGAATATATTTGGTGAATAAATTAATGAAAAAATGAATAAGCAATAAACTGCAAAAGCTCGTCACGTTACTAACCAAAAAACAGCATAAGAACGTGGAAACCTTTAACAAAATTAATACATAAAATCCATGTATTATAAAACAATTTAAGCAATTGAGATGTATGCTGTTTCAGTGGAAGGATAATAACACATCAACTGTTTGGGGGTAAATGATGGTAGTAACACCACTGTTTAAAAAGCAAATCTGAAAACCATTTCTCCAGAGACAATCAAAACCAAAATTATTCCACAAACGAAACAGAACACAGGCAGTCAAGCCTGAATATTTTTGAAAGGCAAACAGTTTAGTAAGCAGTTGGGGGTTAGGACTTGGCGTTGTAAATAGTGGATTTCTCTTAAAGGAAAAGGAGAGATGGAAGTGATACATTGGAAGGGCCTGGTAATTAAGCATGAAAACATACATACACAGGGAAATGGGAACAGTGGGCCACATGACTTGGACTCTCAAAGAGCTGTCTCAGCCTTGGCCTACCCCTCCAGAGAATGTGGCGTACAGAGAAGGAGACCATGCTTCAAGCAGGAGATAATGAAAGCCCTACCTCATAGGTCTGCTGTGAGGATTAAACGAGTTGATGTGTGCAAAGCTCAGTGTCGTGCGTATTATAATTGCCGTACAAGGGTTAGATGCCAGCTGTTTTGCTCTTTCGATGGGATGACCCTCGTCCTGTGGTCCTCGCCTCCGGGGCTGCCAGGCGCTGTTGAGGTGTGGTGCACACAGAAGTCTGCACATGGCCCTGCTTCATCATCCCCCACCTGTTTCTTGCCTTGTATGTCAGTTTGCTGTCCAGAACTTAAGACAGTGCTGGGCACCCCCGCCCTAATTAATCTTCCTGGGCTAAACCCCCTTAAGGTTTTTAAACCAGAAACCAGTGTTTTCCAAGAATGACTCAGAAAACCCTGCATTTAAAATCTACTTCACTGTTTTGACCTAATTAAAAAAACATTTTAAAGAAAAAGCAGTTGCCTTTGTTGAGTACCAGCTCCGTGCCAGACACTCTCCATGTGTCACCATTTTGTCCTCCCACCAGTGCTGCCAAGTGAGGGCGAGGGTGGACCAAGAAATTAAGGAACTTGTTCAAGAGGATGCCGCTCCTAACTGGTAGAAAGAGGATCTGAACCCAGCTGTGTCTACCCCGAATTCCATCCTCTTCCATCACCATGCTCCCTCCAGCCCTAGGAGCAGACCATGGATGCAGAAGTAAATATAATAAGCATTTCTCTTCACGTCTTATTCATACATAAAAATGACACTAACTGGTTGTTTTCACAAAAACTCAAGGCGATTAGCCAAGCATTTGTTTTTGATTAGGGAGGACCAACGTAATGAAAACAAATGACTAAAGCTGTCAGTGTTTGAAACACGTTAGCTGGGAGACATATGGAGCAGGAGAAGTTGAGCTAGAAATGTGAAGGCGAGTCCCACAACTGTGGAAGCTTGTTCTTGGCTTTTTCTTTTATCTGTAATTATATAAAAGAGTGAAGAGTAAATGACAAGCCACCCTTTTGCCTCCAAGTGATTCTATTCCTATTTATAAAGTCTGAGTGGTCGTTGAAGGGTTTAGGAACGTTTTAAGATGAAGCAGACCCCAGGGAGAGAATACACTGGACTTCAAACTTCCAAACGAAAGAGGTTCTTGGGCCCTTCAACCTGTTTCAGCCAGAATGCTCATCTTATCTCGTAATTGGGCTCTTGTGCAAGCTTTCCTTTGAAAGAAAGGTTTAAATGAGTGAACTGCCATTTTCTACTGTGTTGATGCCATTTGTGTGGAGGTTTACTCAGGATTTAGGCAGGCAAGATGCTCCTCGCTTGCCACCAGAACCCTAGGCCAGGTTGCACACTTGGAAGACTGTTTTATGCTCACCTGGCAGGTGCTCTGGGCTGCTGTGCTCTTGGGTCCGCCCTGTATGCTTGTGCAGGTTGTGCACTGCACAGGTTGGGAAGTGTCAGTTGCATCACGTTTTCTTTACAGTAATGTTCCTACTAGCACAGTGAAGTGTTTTGAGGAAGAGACCCCTCTGAGCTGCATACTCCACTCCAGCCGTCCGACACCTCAGCACCCACAGCGGGCCTGTGTCCTCTAAAGGGTCTTCTCTCAAGCTCTCCTTTCCTCCCTGCCTTTAAAAAGAAAACAAACTGAATAAAATAAATCCATTTAGGTAGGAATGATGGCTGGAGATGAAAGCTCCCAAGGGCTTTTGCATCTTACAAGAAGTGATTGCTTAATCCAGGTTAAACGACATGGAGTAAACAGAGATGATGCTTTTAAGCCAGGAGGTAGGACAGGCCTAGGTCCTTGGGCCGTTCTGGGCTGTCGGCACCCCAGCTGGTAGCCAAGTGCAGGCTCTGGCTTCAGTACAGTTCTAGACTCAGCCAGTTTGTCACATGTTGAAAAGGTGACTTGTTCAGTAGAAGGGACAGGAGGTAGGACCAGGATTATCAGAGCGATTATTCTTATCTCATTATAAGACTTTCATATCTTCTGCCTCAAACTCTAGTCAGTGATATAACCCTCCTATTCCAACTACAAGCTTGTAAGCTCCTTGGGAGCAAAGTGTCTGACTTACACCTTCTCCAGAGCAAGCTGAAGTTAGCCCCAGACTGGGTGGAGGGCTACTTAAGGTTACACGACTTGTTAATGGCAGGACTGGAAATAGAACTCAGATTTCCTCATGCCATATACCAGTCCAGCGTTTTCTCCATTCCACCACTGTGTCGGGTATCTGTTGCTGCGTAACAAACCAGCCCCAAACCCCACCCCTCAGAACGACATTGTTGCTGCTCATAGGTTTGTAGGTCAGGCCTTTGAACGAGGTTTGGTTGGGCTGCCCTTCTGTTCCACAGGATGCTGACTGGGTCACCCATGGGGTGGTTTCAGGTGAGTTGGGCTGAAAGGTCCAGGGAGACGCCATTCACATGTCTAGAACCTCGTTGCTTCTCCTGTGGCCCCTCTCTCTCCACATTTCTCTGCTCCCTGTCAGTGTTCTAGCCTGAGCATCTTTACAACATGGTAGCTAGCTTCCTGTAGGGAAAGCAGAAGTTGGCAGGCCTCTTACATTAGCCCCCGGTTGGCACAGTGTGACTTCTGCTGCATTCTCTGGATCAAGGCAAGTGTTAACGCCTGCCCGGATTCAGGAGGAGGGAAACAGACACTACCTCGCGAAGAGTGGAACCACAGGCACGCTGATGGGAAGGAGTTGATGGTGGCCATCTTTGGAGACTGACCACAACCACTGATAACCAACGGATGTAGCCTTCTTTCTCTGCTTCCCGTAGGGCCCTGGTAGAACAGGGAAATTCAAGATTGTGCAGAAACAAAGGCGAAAAGGAGAAGAAAAATGCCCCAAAACACCCCATCCTTTTCCACCTTCAAGCCCAGCCAAAGAGTAGGAGGGTGGCCCACCTACCTGAGGCCCCAGTAATGCATCCTGGGCTGAGCTTCTCCTGGCTGTGTTTGTCTTTATTTGAGATCGGAGGAGAGGCTGCTGAGCCCTGTGGGATATGTGAAGTTCACGGTTTCTGCTTGTGTAATCCTACAGAGGGCGTTTCACAGTCATTTGTTTTTAGAGCTACTGCTGGGTCTGTTTTCTGCATCAAGCATTTAAATGCATATTCCAAAGGGCTCATTCTCCAGGCAGCCGTTAAAAATGATACTTTTCAGCGCTGCATATGTGTACTGCTAAAATATGGTACACCCACGAGGAACCTTTTCAACCATTAATTTCCATGCATGTGTCAGATTATCTCAATCTCTGAGAAAAAGCATATCTTGGTAGGTTTCTGTTCCCTTTTAATGACACAGGGGATTCTTATGTAAAGGGAGCAGCATCTAAGATTGGAAAAGCAATTTTATAGCCTAGCCAGCTCTGGCAACCTCCTTTCATTGTATTCCAACTAACTTGGTTTAAAATATCCTACATAATGGAGATTAGTCTCTTTCTCTGAGAAAAACTTCCTTCATCTTGTAAATTTCCTTGGGAAATTTTTTTATGTGTATTACTTTATTCCTTCAAAAACACCAAAAAACAAAAAAACGGGGAGGGTAAAGCTCAGTGGTAGAGCGCATGCTTAGCATACACAGTTCCTGGGTTCTATCCCAGTACCTCCATTAAATAAATTTATAAGTAAATAAGTAAACTTAATTACCTCCCCCCTCCAGATCAAACAAACAAAAGACCCAGACTTTATCCTTTTGTTACAGTTAGATTGCCTTTTACCACTTAGATATTTATCCCACCCAGAGTATTTTTTCCTAGAAACAATCAAAATAAATGTATAAATAAAAAAAACAAAATCCTCTATTAAGAGAGGAAATGTAAGAGCAGCTAATTATGGGCTGTGGGGACAAAACTCTTCCCAGTGCTTTGGGAAATCTTACATTTTTAGAGATTATCATTGTCTCAAAAATGATGAGATTTGTCTCACACAGATGGAGGATCTTTCGTTTGTCAATTGCTTGTGAGAAAATGTAATAGTTTTGCACCAGATGTCCAGGGAGTAGGGTCCAGTGAACCCATTTACTCTCGCAACTTATGTGACTCAGTAGTTGTTGAAGATATTTTATGTGCTTTTTTTAATACAAGGCTGTATGGGTAAACAGTTATACACGGCACAAAGCTGGCGTTCAGTGCAGAAAGGTCCAGATTTTTTTTAAGCCTCCACCCTCCCCTTTCTCTATGCTGTTGGCGGCGGCGGTCATGGGCTTGCTCTTGTTTGTTGCTTTCTTTTGTTTTGTCCAGGACTAGAAAGACATTGTGGCTTAAAATAGTCCAGTATCGTCTGGAGAACTTTGGGGATTGTCCTTGATTTTTTTTTCCCTCCATTTTCTTATCTGTGCCCCCTTCATTTTAGGAAGAAGAATTAGAAGCCCAGATTTCCTTCCTGCAAGGACAGCTGAATGACCTGGACGCCATGTGCAAATACTGTGCGAAGGTGATGGACACTCATCTCGGTGAGTGACGTACTTGGCCGTGCAGATGACGACAGTCACAGCAGTAACAGCCACCAGGGCCTGTGCTGAGCTTTCTTTATGTGAATTATGTCATGTAGCCCTCACAGCCGGGCTCCAGTAGATGCATGGTTCTGTCCACAAAGATTAATAAAACTGTCCAAAATTGTGACACTAGTAAGTGGAGTAGAAATTCAAAATCAGTCTGACTATAGATTTCAACTCTTTCTTTAATTGAAGTATATTTGATTTACAGTGTTGTGTTTGTGGTGTACAGCACAGTGGTTCAGTTATACATATATATTCTTTTTCATATTCTTTTTAATTTTAGGTTATTACAAGATACTGAATATAGTTCCCTGTGCTCTACAGTAGGACCTTGTTGTTTATCTATTTTATAAATAGTAGTGTGTATCTGCTGATCCCAGACTCCTAATTTATCCCTCCAGTCCCCTTCCCCTGGATTTCAGGTCGTAACTGCTGCACTGCCCTTTGTGTACATCTATCTGCTGCAAAGCAAAATGAAACGTCAAGCTTACAAGATCAGATAATCAGCTCTACTGTGTGCTAGCCTGTCAATAGTCCCTAATGTGATTATTATTTTGACAGTGCTTTACTTTTTAAATAAATGTTTTTAACCACCTGCCTGAAACGTCTGTCAGACCACATGACCTTTTCTTCCTTCTGACTTTATACTCTAGGAAATGTCTTAGTTTGAAGTTGTTTACATGTGTGTTGTACGTATGTCACATAGAAAGTCTTTAAGCATTACTCTTCATCTTTATGAAAACTGTGTATTTTGTATTAGAAATGGTCTCTGCTGGATCACATATGTATTGCTTCAGTAACTCCAGGCTGCTTGCAAAGCTTTTGTAACACATATGTTACTACGTTTCAGGGAGAAAGGAAAGGACATCCCTTCCTTCTCCTTCCTCCAGTGTCCAGCATCTGCCGTTTGGGAGCATATTAGGGAACTGAGTCATGTGCCGTAATGGAAACAGCCAGGATGCGGCCCTGTGAGTGTGGAGAAGGGGCAGCACCACGCACTGTAAGACATCAGGACACATCCCACCGGTGAGGGAAACCAGAGCGAGCCCACCAGGGTCTCCTCCCACTGGCGGGGGCCCTGAGAGCGGCGCATATCCGGGGCCTTCGCTGAAGGTGGACCCCACCGGGCTCTCAGCTCATTAGGTCACAAGTCACTGCATGTGGCCAGAGTGGCTCTCATTGATACAGCCTAAAACATCCTGGCCTCAAGCAAGTAATAAACGTTCTCTTATGGATTTGAAGAGGTGCTTGACGCGAGTGGCTGGCCGCCTCCCAGTGTCTTACCAGGCAGCCGGCTGGGCCCTGTTCTGTCCTCGGCCTTCTTTCTGCTTTCTAGACCCTCCTTCAGAGGAAGGGCTCAAGAGAAGGAAACAGCAGGAGAAACCCTGGTAAGTGATCAAAAGGGTAGTGTCTCTAATCAAGCAAACGTTCCCCTGTCACAAATGATTCCACCCTCTTCAAAACTCTGTTTAGAGGGGAGGGTATAGCTCAGTGATCGAGCACATGCTTAAGCATGCACGAGGTCCTGGGTTCAATCCCCAGTACCTCCGTTTAAAAAATAAATAATATTTTAAAAACTCTATTTATATGCTTCTTTATGCTCAAGTTTAAAAGTGCATATAGAATTTTACACGAATCTTATCTGATAGCATCATACTTAAAAATACTTCAATAAGAAATAATAAAGAGTAGTTTATATATAAATTAATATGTATTATACTAGTTTCAGTTAAATATTTTAATATTTTAAACTAAATGTGTACACACACATGTGTGTATTTTTGGCTTCTCTAGCTACGTGACTGACCTTTGTATGACTTGATTTGGGTTTTAATTGAAGTCGGGTAGCAAAAAGTGACTGAGAAGGTTTACTGAAATGCTGGAAAAATCCTGTTAGGAAATTTCCAAGTTGTTTGGTCCACATAGCGGCTTTTAAAGCAGCTTTACTTAAGCCTGAGAGTTTTTAAACAGTTTTTGTTCTGATTTTGTTCTTTCCATCAGCACTCAAAGAGCATTTTCTCGTTGCACGGAAGGGGGAAACACCTCAGTTAAAGACAAGCCCGTACCAGCTGTGAATTTTCAGCTAGCTGCAAAACTCGATTTGTTTTCGTGTGTCCGTTTCACTTTCAGCCAGAACCCCTCCGCATAGCTGTGGGCTTCTTTTCCCCAGATAAATAGCGTGACTACATTTTAACAGTGGGGGTGAGGGTTGCTACAAAGAATTTCTCGCCCTAAGGCCTACAGGTGCATTTTATTTCTTCTGTGTATATAACACTGGTTTGTTAAAGGGTGTTCCTGTGTTGTAGGCAGTTTTGATTCTCAGCAGAAATTTGAGGAAAACACAAAGATTAATTGAGGTGAACCTCTTGATTTACTTTTTGACTTATTACACTTCCCTTAAAAGTAACTTTAATACCCTAATATTTTTTCCATATGAACTTTTCTATTTTTCCTGATCAGTAAAGTGGTGTAAAATTGGAACTGAAAAATTTCATTAAGTGATGGATTATAATATAGTAATGCAATCTTTATGGTTTTAAATACTTTATTTGTTAACTTAAGGAGACGTTCATGATGTATTATTAGGTGAAAAAAGCAGGTGGCACAGTGGAATATATTTGATGTGAAAGTCACCACCAACAGAGGTGGCCTGAGCGAGAGGAAGATTACAGAGGGACTTTCCAAGGGACCTCATCCTCTGTGCTTGGAAAATCTGTAGACGGCTCAAGTGCTCAAACCAGCACCTGGGAGTCGATCTTTGCACCGTAAGCAAGAGTCAGCTCTAAGAGCAGCTGCAGTGGTACCTGAGAGGGAGAGACAGCCTAGTGGGCATCAGACAGACACAGGGTTGAAACCAGGCTCTGCCACTTCTGAGATCAGCCTGCTTGTGGTCATGTCTTCATATAGAAAATGATAATACAGGTGTCTGTGTTGTAGTTCGTTGCCATGACTGATGTATTTTTTTATATAGAAATGCAGCCAGTTACAATATGTTAATTTCTGGTGTACAGTCATGCATGTACATACATATATTCATTTTCATATTCTTAAGACCGATGTATTTTTAAAGCCCAGCATGGGCTGGGTGTTCAACACAAACCCTTCCCTCTCTCCCCTTAACTCATAACTGCCCCTTCTCCTGGGAGACCCTGGGAGACTCATCCAGCCTGTGACCAGAGAGCTGAGTAGTGACTTGTCTAGGGCCCCAGGCTAGTGAGGGGAAGAGCTGGAAGCAACACGTTTCCGGACACCTAACTTGAATATTCCTGAATCAGATGATGCAAAAAGATGCTGGAGTTTGGGCTGTGCGGGTCCTTAGAAGGGGTGTGTGAGCTCTTTGAGCAGGAACAGCTTTGTCAGAACTGAGCGGTGCGTCTGCACTCCCTGACATGAGCTCTGCTGAGGCTCCCCAGGGGCCCTGAGAACGGCCTCAGACACTCATCCTGGGAGTTACTGCTCTGAACCCTGTGCTAAGGTTAGTTAGTTTCACTGAGTTCCTTTCATTTGGAGAGAATTCCGTATCACCCTGTGTTTCGTCAGACATGCAGTGATATCTTAAAATGGCCAGTACGATTGAAAGCTACTTTTACAACTCATAGAACAGGTAGAGAGAAAAACATCTCAGGTAAAAATTACATAAAAGCACGTGTTTCAGTGGTCCTTCAATTATAGCGATAATAAAACTGATTGGCAGTTATTTCTCTCTGGTTCTGGAGCCCAAAACTGAAAGTGTATTTGCTTAATTGAAACTCTACCAAAGGTCTCATTTCATTGCTTCCACATAATTGAACCATGTGAACTCAAAGATTTAGAGACGGGAAATTGAAAGTATGTGTTTTATTAAATCTTAATTTTTCCTATCCACTCCAGAAGACTTTTTTTACACGTTCATTTGTCTGTTGCTATAGTTACACCCCTTCCTGTCATCCTGACAGTTGAGTTGAAAACCATGGCCAGCGTGAACCTGCGTGGCTGAGTCAGGCTATTTTTAGGTGTTCGGTTTGCTGTCCTTCACGCATAATTGCACGTGGGTGCGCCGCCCGCAGGCTCTGATCTGTGAGCAGTGGGGCTGAGTGTGCCGCCCACCCTGCCTGCTCGCAGGGGAGGTGTTTCTGTTCATCTGTTTGGTATTTACACGAGTTTCCAGCCCCGTGCCCTCTCATTGGTGGTTCACACAGACAGTGGGAGGGTTAAATGCAGTGAATTAGGGGAAATTAGGTTTCCCATGAATGGGCTGAGAGCACTGTGGTCCACAGGCCCTTAGACGGGTGAGGATGCGGGCGCCCTCCAAGCCCTCGCTGCTGCTCTCCATCTCACAGGTGGAGAGACCTCGGCCCGGCAGGGTCAGTGGCGCACAGCTACTGTGTGTCTACAGGGTCCGGACACACAGCCAGGAGCCCAGACCCCACTCCAGGCCTTGGCTCTTCTTCCCCTGAGGCTTGTGCTGAGGCCACCCTTCAGTCAGTGGTTGGATTTCAGATCTGCTGTTTTATCGCACACATCCTTCCTGATCTTGTACTTGTCATAATATTTATGCAAGAATTAACTGTGAGAGGAGGCCATTTTTGAAAATCAGTTTACTTGCCTCTGCAAGAACTTTGAGTCTGATGTTTATAAAAACAACGTTCAATAGATGTCTGTGGAAATGTTCACTAGGCAATTAACTGATGACATTTGAAAAACTGAGAAGGAAAATGTGATCACCAGACAGCTTTTTCTCTGTCAACGGCGCTGTGATAAAAGCTTTTTGTAATTATTTTAAGAATTTTAAATGCCGCATTTAATTGTGAGAGGCCAAGTCCTCTGGAGAAGAATGAGCCATACTTCCCCTGGGGATCTTGTTAAAAATGCAGATTCTGATTCAGTAGGTCCGAGGTGGGGCCCGAAGAGATGTTATCATCTCTACTAGCCCCTGGGGGCCCTGGTGATACTAGGTCATGGCAGACTTCAAGCAG